ATCGTCTGGTATCGTGTAGAGCCCTTTGAAGCTGCACTGAAACTGTAAGTTTGACCTTCATCCGTTTGGTAGCCGTTGAAGTCCACTATAAGGAGAATAATCCCGGAATGTTTTCTTCAAAAACCTTAATTTCTTTTCGACTGAAGATAGAAAGTCGTAAACATCTTGGATGACATGGGGGTGAGTAAATTATCAGGAAATTTTAATTTGAAAGTGAACTAATCCTTTAACAACTGATTCTAAACAGTTTATACAGCAGCTTCATTTCTATCCCAAGAGCCCACTATAAGAAAAAAAGTGTTTGTCGACACATCTAGGGTGCTTGGAAAGGTTACTCTGTGCTGAATTAGAGCTTTTGCCCTAATACAAATCCTGTGGCGCAATCTCAGAAGGATCGTTTGGAATGGACAAAAAATGTGTCAGGTACCCAGATTTTCTTTACCAGCCGGCCATCAAAGGTCATGCTCTGGTTGGTGTTGCTGGGAAAGGACAGTCGCTCGTCCTTCCAGTAATGTCTCAGGTATAGGGTCATGGTGAAGTCCTGTAGCATACAATCCAATCAGCCATGCATCTTAAAGGATTAGTTCACTTTCAAATTAAAATTTCCTGATAATTTACTCACCCCCATGTCATCCAAGATGTTTACGTCTTTCTTTCTTCAGTAGAAAAGAAATTAAGGTTTTTGATGAAAACATTTCGGGATTATTCTCCTTATAGTGTACTTCAATGGCTACCAAACGGTTGAAGGTTTCAGTGCAGCTTCAAAGGGCTCTACACGATACCAGACGAGGATAATCCTTTAACAACTGATTCTAAACAGTTTATACAGCAGCTTCATTTCTATCCCAAGAGCCCACTATAAGAAAAAAAGTGTTTGTCGACACATCTAGGGTGCTTGGAAAGGTTACTCTGTGCTGAATTAGAGCTTTTGCCCTAATACAAATCCTGTGGCGCAATCTCAGAGTGGAAAAGATCATGACAGCCCTGAATCATTCATGATGCACTCTGAAATCTGTAAGCCATATTTATGTCGGTCTCCTACCATATCTACTTCAGAGATGGTGTCCAGACTCTCAAGCTGAACATCAACACCCACAGATATCGCCGGCCCTGAAATGAAGCAAAAATGAGCTTTAAACTGTTTTATAATGCACTCACTGTAAAAAACGTAGTCGATTTAAACTTAAAACACCAAATGTAATTAATCTACTCAACAAATCTATCCATTTATTAACCACTTCAATAACATTAGTGTGATCTGAGCAAAAGGTTTTGATAAATAAGGAAAGATGCCACTTCTGCTTAAGGTGGTCAGGCTGGTTTTTGGTGGTCTACCACCCCATGCCATAATACCAAACCAGGATGATCAAGGTCTACAACAAGGATGGTTACATCTGGAGGGCCACTTTCCAGCGGAGCTTAGCTCCAGCCCTATATAACACCAGCTATCAAGGTCTTCAGGATCACTACAAAGGTATGTTGGAGCAAGTTTGTGCTAAACTCTGCAGGACAGTGGCCCTCCAGGATAAGATTGAACACCACTGGGGTACAGGATTAACCTCGGCTCCACCAGCTGCTGGTTCATCTGATCAATCATCTAGATCAACTTGGAGCAGCTGATCAGAGTAACACATTGACTACCATATGGAATCACATGTTACAATATAGCTATTAGCAAATGCCCAGGCTCTAACTGCTATATGACATGTTCATGTAATATAAAGATTAAGGATCATAGCCCATCAGAATAGACTTAAAGGCAGAGTAAGTGATTTTTCAAAAACACTTTAGAAAACTGATTCGGGCCGAATCGCAAAACAAACTTGTAGTGAAGATACGGGCAGATAAGTGAATGCTCGTGGCACAGAGCCACAGTAAATCAGTGTCATAATCTGGCCCGAGCTTATGTAAAGCTGATTGCCTGTGATGTCAGTTCAAATCCTACATAAATCGGAGTCTTGCGGTGTTTATTAAGATCTGCTGGTGTTTCGCATTAGTCATTAATGCATTAATGATAATCATAGGTTGCATATTAATCCATATGCACCACAAATAAAGCCAATAAAGCAAGTAGAAATCAACAACAACAACATAAACTAATAATTGATTTAGATTTAAGATAAATGTAACAATAAAATTAAATGATTACATTTATTTATGAAGTAATTTATATGTTAGAATTTATATATTTAAAGATTTAAATAATTAATAAACTAGAATACATTTATATTGCTTTAGACCAGTGGTTCCCAACCCTGGTCCTGGAGGCACCCCAACACTGCACGTTTTGCATGTCTCCTTAATCAAACACACCTGATTCAGGTCATCAGCTCATTAGTAGAGACTCCATGACCTGAAATTGGTGTGTCAGAGAAAGGAGACATGCAAAATGTGCAGTGTTGGGGTGCCTCCATGACCAGGGTTGGGAACCACTGCTTTAGACTACCCAGAAGACTTTTCTGCATAGCCCATATTTTCTACCTCTAGGGAGCCTGGAAACTCTTCAACATAGCTTTCTATCTTTTGTCTTTGGGGCTCAAAGCATTCTTCTCATCTCACCTCCAAAGCCAGGCCTCATGGTGAAGTCATGGCCATCTAACTTGAGGAGCTGTTCTGATTTCGTAACGGGAGCTTTTGTGACATCTGGACTTCTCATTAGTAAAGTGCTGCTAAACACAGAAATAAATAAGTAAAAGAGGTCACGCAAAATCATGACAAAACATGTCAAAACATAATTCCAATGCAAACAGAACAGTTTTTGCAATATGGTTAATGAGTGTATTTGAAGCACAGAGAATGAAAATCAAATATTTAAATTAATATATAATGCTATTTTTTTTAAATAATGAAATTTAAAAAGCAAGACTGTAAAGCCCCACATCATACAGTAGCTGTTGTAAAATCACTTTTAAGTTATTATGACGTTAATGTTGCAAAAGTATGGGGAGCTTGAAATTGAGACCTCTCGCAAATAATATGGTTATATAGATATTATACTTTTTAAAAGGTGAGCAAATGAAATGAAATGTATATTTGTTCTACCTGCCAGGTTTATGTGCTTCTCCCTCTGTTCTGGTGGTTTCTCGCTTGGATCTGACAAATGCAGGATATGACATCATTACATATAAGAACATAACAACAACATCTCAAATCATTTAGGCACTTTAATGATTATGCTGCAGAATAAATAAATAAATTGTATTAATGCCCTTAATAAGTGGAGATCGCTAATGAAAATTCTACCCTGCATACAACATCAAAAATAATCAATGTAACAATGTGAGTGAAAAAATGAAATGTCTTTGTTTGTTATATCCCGCTTGTTTAATGATGCCAGTTCTTTACGCTGACATTATGATCATATTTTGAGAATGTTCCAAACATCAAGCATCTTGTGTGCTTTCGTTTAGCAGAAGCAAGGAAATCTGACCATCTGTACAAAGGAGTTCACATCACCACAAATTTAATGACACAAATTTGTTTACAACTAATTAGAGACCTAGGAATTGTTCACTACACTCTAAAAAATGCTGGGTTAAATATAACCCAGCGGCCAGCGCTGGGTTAAAAAGGGACAAACCCAGTTATTGGGTTGTTTTGACCCAGCGGTTGGGTAGTTTTGACCCAGCTATCGGGTTGTTTTGACCCAGCGGTTGGGTAGTTTTGACCCAGCTATCGGGTTGTTTTGACCCAGCGGTTGGGTTCAAAACAACCCAACTGCTGGGTCAAAACAACCCAATAGCTGGGTCAAAACAACCCAACCGCTGGGTCAAAACAACCCGATAGCTGGGTCAAAACTACCCAACCGCTGGGTCAAAACAACCCGATAGCTGGGTCAAAACTACCCAACCGCTGGGTCAAAACAACCCAATAACTGGGTTTGTCCCTTTTTAACCCAGCGCTGGCCGCTGGGTTATATTTAACCCAGCATTTTTTAGAGTGTAGGTCATGCGTCCTTGTTCTAAATGTTTCAACAATCCTAAAACTTTGAGGTTTTATTTCTTTATTTTTGATAGAATGGTACAGTTTGCATGAATTCAGCTAAAAAAGAAATTGTGCAGACAAGTATATTTAATGTACATTTTGCACTTTCAACCTTTTCACAGTTTTTTCACACCTTTAATTTCCTTCTGTCTTCATTTCTTTCTGACAGAGAGTTGCTAATAAAACAACTAATTCGTGCAACACATACCATCTACCCTTCAGCGCGCGTCTACATCTTCTTCATCAGTTATTTATTTATTCACGTTTGTCATGAATAATGGTTGAATGCATGAGTGAGGTGATGCACTCACCTGGTTTGGCTGCATGTCTGAAGCACCTGTCCGCGCAGCTGCAGCGCTCCAGTGGAGAAAAAGCACGCGCAGAGCAGAAAGCAGACATCAGCGTGCATGATGCCAACCTACAGTCACGAGAATCCTGTTAGAAGCTATTAAAACAGCACTGAGGAGCTCTTAAAGACGACCCATTGTCATGGTGCAGCCTGTGAGGACGTGCCGTCGACCGCAGTCGCGCTGCAGGCGTCCAGATGCGTTTAATCTGCGTTAATGTGAAGATCAGATCTGTTGTTTGCTGCAGCCTTGCTTTCCCGCATCCAGGAGGAGCTTTCGCAGGTTAGAGGGTGAAACAGACATTTGCTGGCCGTATATTATGTAATGTTCCATGGGTATTACGTGCTATCTGAATTAAACTTACATAATCGAGTGGTATAGTCACTCAGCATTGTTCTAATTTCTTCCAAATGGTATTTTAGAGGCGTTAAACAGGGGCGATTCTAGGATTTTCATATTAGGGGGGCTCAGCCCCCAGTGAGGGTATAATAATTATAATAGCCTAATACATTTTTTTTAAAATTATATACTATATATATATATATATAAAATAAAAATTTTTTTGATTAATAGTCGTATACTAAACTTATTGCAGTATTCCACTGTATTGCATAGATAGGTATAACATTTGAGTACGGAATAAGCCAACTTCAAGTCTTCATGATCTCACACACACAACCTGTTTACTGTAAGCTACAAACACAACATTTTGGAAACAGCTGTGGTGTGATGAGGGGTGAACGCAGCGAAAACTTAGGCTACAGTAGATGGGGAACCAACCGATTATTGCTCCCCCATGATATTTTGTAAACTGGATTTATGATTTGTAAACTGGATTTATGACAAAGTGCTGCACAGATGCAGATATTATAACAGTATATCGATAATCACACACCTTGTCCTCTGTTTCTCCCACTGAGCCTCTGCGGATTGAAGAACGCACTGAAAGACAAGGAGGAGCCGATCGAAGTCTGCCGCCGTTTTCAAATTAAATTTAAAGGGGACTGAGGCGATCACGAATTCGTGTACAGTTTATGGACATAATCGCAAAATTTTAGGGGGGCTGAGTAGTCATTTTAGGGGGGCTATAGCCCCCCTAAAAATGGTCTAGCGACACCCATGGCGTTAAAATGAAAAATTTTGATAAAATAAATAAATCAGATTGAATATTCATTCAATATATGGTGAGTATGAATTGAAAAGAGCTACAACGACCAGCCAAAAGATTGGAGAGTTTACTAAATTTCTTTCTGGTAATCAAATGTTTCTGATCCTCCTTCAATACTGAAGTCAAGTCAAGTCACCTTTATTTATATAGCACTTTTAACAATACAGATTGTGTCAAAGCAACTGTACAGCATTAATTAGGAAAATAGTGTGTCAATTGTTTTTATTTATTTACCTGCTTAACTCCCTTAATTCCTTTTGTGGTATTTAATTTATTGATTTATTTAGTTTATTCATTTATGCTATTATTCTAAAATGTGGAAAGCAGCCACAATAAAGAATGAATTTGTGTGTCCAAACTTTTCACTGGTTTAATGTTTGTGGAGAATAAATACCATAGTACCATGGCCTTAAAATCTGATACCAGTTTATAATTCATACCTTTTTCCGTTCACAGTATTTCGCATCAGCGTGCCTGATGCTTTTGCATAATAGGTTCAAATTTTCTACATAAGTTTGAAAGAAATATCATTAAATTCCAAAATGTCTAGATATAGTTATAAAAATAAATAATAATTTTATGCATATTCAGTAACTATAAACATGCCATGACTGAAGAGATACATAACAAGGTGCATATACATTTATGTAATTCATTTAGTCAAAGCTCTCTTTATTCTTTAACACTTGCAAAGATCATAAATTGTTTTTATGGCTATTTGGTACAATATATACATTTTACATGCGGCACGATTAATTAAACTTGTTTTACTTCTGCATTCACATACATTGCATGTGTATTTATGTGTCTCTTGTTTAAACATGTTTGTTCTAATGGATCAAACTGATAGATTTCGCCATTGATCAGTCTGTGATTGTGCCATTGTCCAGGGCTGATGCTAATGCTTTGCTATTATAAAGGGCAATTTGTTTGAATACAAACGTTCAAATCCTTGACCAACAGTCATAAAAAGCACACCATGTAGCAAACACAGTGTCTTCAGCTGTCATGATCTGGCCTGTGTTCTCTGTTTTTATGTGAATTTTTTACTTGTTTCCTATTAGGTGTGTCCTTGTAGTCAGTTTGTAGTTCTTTTGGCTTCCCTTATTACTCCCTGATTGTGTCCAGGTGTGTCTTGTCTTGGGGGGGGGGCAAGCTCCAGTGGCCAATACACTGAGGGTCACAAGCCCAGTGTTTGTAGCCTCTCTACAAAATGGCCGACACTCCAGAGCCTCCTCCTGTCATGCCCGCCACTCCTGAGTCTCGTCCCGTCATAGCTGCCACACCAGTGTTTCCGGCCGTCATGAACGTTGCACGTGACCTGAAGCTACAAGGGCAGTCCCTGAGACTGGCTTCCAGTTTGGCGGACCAACCACTGATTGAGCGGCTGGCATTCCGGTGGCCACACACACACACACACACACACACACATACACGGAGCAGTGGGCAGCCATTTTTGCCCCCTGCCGGAACCGAGACTCGAACCAGCAACCTTTGGGTTACAAGTCCGACTCTAACCATTAGCCCCCTCAAGCCCCAGAGCTCAGTCCTGTGTTGGCACCAGCCTGTGACTTCCCTGCATGTCCTGTCTCAACCACAGAGGACATCATTTTGTTTTCTGCCTGTCCTGTTCTTTGTCGGGTCTTGTCCTTTCTTGGATGTTGTGTTGGCTGCCTCTGTTCTGTTCTGTTCCTGGTTCCTACTCCTTGTCCTTGGATTATTGTTTGTTTAATAAATGCAGCATGTGGATCCTACTCTCCCTCGTCCCTGAGTTTGCCTTCATAACATCAGCAGCCATGTCCTACAGTAACCAGTGTTTATGAAATACTAAATGATACAGGATTATGTCAGAATAATGTCATTTCTTTTCTATTGAGGTTGTAAACAGAGTGCAGAATTGTAATTGTAATTTTAATTTAAGTAGATAGAATTAAAATTTAATGCAATTCATATAACTGTGGTTTTCAATAGGTACATCATTGTACCTAAAGGGTCCATATTGATACCTAAAAGGTGCAAAAATGCTACAGTGACAGCTTTTGTACCTTTTCTTCTGAGAGTGTAGAAAAAAAGGTGACTTCATTTTAAATTAAACACAAGAGCTGTTAGTTTTGAATGATGTGATATGCAAATAATGTGCTTGCAGTTTTGCAGACTTGGTCTGAAGTTTTGACATATGAATTAATAATATGTTGACTGTACTTAGTGAGTGTGTGTGTGTGTGTGTGTGTGTGCGTGCGTGTGTGTGTGTAAGGAATTAAAAAAAAACTAAGAAAGATTATTAATACAAAGTTTGAATTACATTTACATTACATTACATTTACACTTAGTCATTTAGCAGACGCTTTTATCCAAAGCGACTTACAAATGAGGACAATGGAAGCAATCAAAATCAACAAAAA